GTAGATCTTTTGGAGAATTTTTCCTTCAAACACCACAAGAGCTGCCCCATCTGCTTGCACAGGTACCCATGCTTAAGATCCATAGAACAGCATAGGTAGTATCAGCGTCTTGTAGAGTATGAGTTTGGTCTGGCGGGAGGTGGCCTTGTTTCTAAACTGCTTACTTAGAGGTAGCAGGTGGCCTTGTTTCTATAACTGCTTACTTAGCAGACTCCTTTTCAATTTTTTTCAAACACCACAAGAGCTGCCCCATCTGCTTGCACAAATACCCATGCTTCAGATCCATAGAACAGCACAGGTAGTATCAGCGTCTTGTAGAGTGTGAGTTTGGTCTGACGGGAGGTGGCCTTGTTTCTAAACTGCTTACTTAGGTATATAAAGTCTTTAACTACCTCGAAGCTGTATTTCTCAAGTTCCACAGTTGGTCCGAGTCTACTGGACGTCTTGCGCGTTGATACCATCAGCTTGGTCTTCTTGCCGTTTACTGCCAGACCCACTTTGGCAGACTCCTTTTCAATTTATTCAAAGGTGGCTGTTACCGCTCGCAATGTTCGACCAATTATATCGATATCATCGGCGTAGGCGATTAACATGTGTTGTTTGGTGTACAGAGTGTCATTTCTGTTAAAAAGATCACACGACAAACTGTCAGCTTGTCTGAAACCTCGTTCGGTATTGAAGGGCTCCGAGAGGTCCTTTCCTACTTTAACTGCCCTTGTGCCACTTAAAGTTATCCTGCATAGCCGTATTAATTTTACAGGAATGCCAAACGCAGACATGGCTTTAAACCCCTCTGAACGGATAGGGTTGCCGAATGCGGCTTTATAGTCGACGAATAGGTGGAATGTGTCGAAGTGTTTTTTGTGGGTCTTTTTCAGTATTTGGCGCAGAGTGAAAATCTGGTCAATGGCGGATTTGCCACGCTTGAAGCCGCATTGGTATGGTCCAATAATGTCATTGACCATTGGCTTCAGTCGTTCACACAGCACGCTGGATAACACTTTACATGAGATGGGAAGGAGACTTATTCCTCTATGAATAGTTCGGCTGGTAATCCATCGACATATTCTGCTTTATTGTCCTTCAGCCGATTAATTGCTACTCTGACCACATCTTGGCTAGTTGGTATACCATCTATACCGTCATTTCTTATTAGTTCTGGGGTATCTTCTTCACCGCCACTATTTGGTACCAGAAGCTTCTCAAAATTCTCCTTCCTGATCCTTAGCACGCTATCCGTATCTGACAACAGGTTTCCCTCTTCTTCTCTACAGGAAAATGTGCCTGCACAAACAGAAGGCTTTTCTGTTTGTTGTTTTACTTGTTAGTAAGATTTCCGCACTTCATTCTTACTCCTGTATACCTCGATTTGCTCACGCTCGGGTTTTTCTTGTTCTTTCTTCGTTTTTCTGAAAATACGTTTCTTCTCTCTTTTTTAATTTTCCATCGCATTACGTATTGCTACTGTCTGCATTTTTCGCCTCAGTAGCATTACGACCCTCCTGATCGTACCAAGGGTTTCTTGATGGTGGTTTTTGGTACCCAAGTTTTGTTTTGCTGCACTTTTTAGGTATTGAAGAATTCTTTGCCATTGTGTTTCTATATTATTATCGGGATAAGGGGTTCTTTCGACCAGCAGGTTGTAAGTTGAGCGGGTCAGGCTTCTGCTATCTGTTGTGTTTGCAGGTTTTCCACGTCGAGTTTCCGTGTTACATTAGATCGAACCTTTGCTGCTACATTAAGACGGGTGCGAACCTTGGCTGTCACAAGGAAATGGACCGAATCGATATTCGCTAGAAAACTTTCTATAAATCTTTTATAAAGAGAAGACCTTCTATATAGAATACTTTCTAATGGTCTATGTACATGCATTTCTTTATTAAAGGTGTTCTGTATAAAAAAATTCTGGTCTCCTATACGAAGATCGTATTTTCAGTTATAGAAAGACCTAGGGACCATCTATACGAAGAACTTCTGGAATTATAATTACATTGATGGTCCTAGGCCCACCTTCTTAGTGAATATGCTATAATTTATAGGACACACTTTATAATTATCTTTAAAAGAAACGTTTATTTCATTCACACCTATACCCCGAGACCTATATGATGTCATTTAAACAAATTTCACCAGCCTTATCAGCTTGGAACAAAAACACACATATTTATAACACTTTGTGTTTCTTTTTTCTTATTTTTTGTAATATCGGTATTTTGCCATAAAACCTGAATATGACGTTTTTAAAATATCTTCAAAGAATCATTAACTAAAGTTGTTTTTCGTTTATTTCCCTTTTTCGTCAGTTATAAAAGATATTAAAATCCATTGGCCTCATACTGAAAGAGATCGGAAAAGAGAGAAAGGGAAATAGTCACTTTACAACCATCTCCATAGTAATTTAGTATTTAAAGTGTTTTTTATTATAACACCTGTTACCTACCTCCCTACCAAATGAATGAATGGCATTTGTTTATTTTTTAAGAAAAAATATTGCATTGCGCTGCAATTTTTAAACAACTTTTGTTTCAGTTTTTTGTCGTTTTTTTCTGTTGCAACATTTTTTTGTAATTCACTCTATTGTAAATGATATCAACGCCAGTTACTGACTGACTGCTTGATTGTCATCGTCGTTGTCGTCTAACTCCGTTTGCTGGCTACTACCTTTACATTTGTCATAGTCACTGACCTATCACGTTCCGCTAAGACAAGACTACTACCTGACACCCATATCGATTATTAGGTAATCCATTGTAAATTTAGATGTAAGTGGAGGCAACAATTGCTTGGGCTGATCGTATTTCCCATGATAATGTGGCAGACCAGTAGACATGTGTTTTTAATTTAAAGTTCATTGACTTTGAGTTGGGAAATGTAATACTGAAATTTGTTCATCATGTGCTTGGAGATCACTTTCAAATATTTTTTTTAAATATATTATAAGAGAATTTGTTGCGGAGTTAACAACCTATGATTTTATAGCTCCTCAATAGATTGCAAATGGCTTAGAAGGGGGCATTCTTCCATTGTCTGTCCCATTTTTATTTCATTTTAAATAAAAATCTACGCCTATGTTAAGACATATTATTTAAAAAAATCCACGCCTATGTTGAGGCACAAACATAGTCTAGCCCCTAACCCAATAGGTTACATTGCTAAGCAACCATAGGGTTATATGGGAAATGATTGGCGAAACCAATTAAATAATTGGAATTAGATCATCAGAGCGCCACCTGTATTTGATTGTTTGGTTAGAATTTTGTCTTAGCTATTATTATTGGTGTCTTTTCTAAGTATAGTCTAGCCCCCTAACCTAGTAGGTGACGTTTCTGAGCAACATAGTGTCATATGGGGAATGATTGGCGAAACCATTAAAATAATTGAAATTGAAACTTTGGAAACCCATTAGTGACATTAGTTTTTGTAAATGCTATGTAGAGCACATCTAAAATATTTTAAAAAACAGTTTCCTATGTAGATCCTTCCTAAAAGTATTTTTTATAGTATATGTCATTCCATTCAGCAACACTTCGAAATATTCAGCGAACACCCCGATAAGTTATTATATATATTCTTCTTCATAATAAAATTTTATATCGATTTAGATATGTCCAATTGTCTGTTAAAATCACGATAGAGAGCACAGAAATAAAGATGGAGCTTTCAAATTTGGCACACACACAAACATTGCTGTCATTCCTAGAATATTTGGTATTGCAAATGTGATATATCGGACGACTTTTTGGAATATATGGGGTGTACCCGCATAAAATATTTAATATTTTTGGATATTGAGTAGCCCCCTTGTAACGGTAACCTCCATTATTCGGTATTTTGAGGATATGGGGCACGTTCTTCAATCAATTGCCCACAGTGGCCTGACTTATTTTTCATATGAAGGGAAAATAGGTTAGGTCCCACGTAGCAAAAAAACGGCGAGTGTTACAACGTCCTAGGTCAATATTTTCTTCAGACTCGAAGTTATTTTTAATTTCTACAGTGGCCTGACTTTAATTCCATATAAAGGGAAAATAGTTTGGGTAGCACTAGTGGTGGGCGAGGAGGTTACAACTCTTTGGTATGTATTTTCAAAAAGGAAAATGCTACTAGGTCCATATTTGCTTGATGCTATTTTTAATTTCCACTATGGACTGACTTAAGTTCCATATAAAGGAAACATAGGTAAGGTCCCAATGTAGGAAACAATGAGGGCTAGAACTTTTTGGTATTCATTTTTGGAAAGGCTATCGAAAATGCTTCTAGATCCATATTCAGAAGCTCTAAACTATTTGCAATTTTCACAATGGCCTGACTTAAATGACATATTAAGAGAAAATAGTTTAGGCCCTACTGTAGAAAAATGGGAAGGTTACAACTTTTTTGTATTCATTTTTAGAAAGGATGTCGAAAATGCTTATAGATCAATATTTTCCAGGAGCTCTAACCTATATTTAATTTCCACAGTGTCCTGACTTAAATTCAATATAATGGGAAAATAGGTTAGGTCGCATTGTAGGAAACGGGGAAGGTAAAACTTTTTGGCATGCATTTTCGAAAAGGGCATCGAAAATTATTTTCTAGAAGCTCTAGCCTATTTTTAATTTCCACAGTGGCCTGCCTTAAATGCCATATAAAGGGAAATAGGTTAGGTCTCACTGTAGAAAAGTGAGGAGGTTTAGAACTTTTTGGTATGCACTTTTGGAAAGGTTATCGAAAATGCTTCTAGACATATATTCTCCAGAAGCTCTAACCTATTTTTAATTTCCACAGCGGCCTGAATAAAATGCCATTTAAAGGGAAAAAAGGTTAGGTCGTACAGTAGGAAAACCGATAAGGTCGTAACTTTTTGGTATGCATTTTTGGGAAGGGCATCGAAAATGCTACTCGGCCAATATGTTCCAGAAGCTTTAACCATATAACGGATCTCCCAATTTCGGTAATTTTTTTCGATTTTTGGTATACAGGATGAGATAAAAAAGCTGCAACAAAGTCAAACGCCATAATTTTTAAATTTTAAATTGAATGAAAGCAAAAAATGTCGGAAATGGCATCAAATTTTAGAATAAGTTTAGATTTGTTCGAATTGGTCACCTTTGGCACGAATTATGGCCTTCAAACGGCTAATGCAACCGTCACACGCTGCCCGAATGTTCCTCTGCGGTATTTCGGCCCATTCCCGGCAAAGAGCTTACTTGAGGTGATCGACACTTTGGTATTTTTTAGTGCCAACCTTGCTTTCCCAAATACTCCAGACACAATAGTCCAACGGAATGGTATCCGGAGATTTTGGTGGCCATTGTGCGCTGGAAATGAAGGGAGGAACCTCATTTTGTAATCATTCGTGGTTGCCGCGTACTGAGCGCCATGTTGCTGAGTTTTGTTGGAATGACCAAGGTCTGCGATCAAAATGTTTGCGTGCCCAAGGCTTTAATACAGCCTCAAGAATATTTTCGCGATAAAATTCGGCACTTATTCTGATGGCACGGTCGATTAATACGAGCTTAGAGCGACCATAGGCTGTTATGGCGTCCCACACCACACAGTGGGCGGCGCTTGAGTTCTGGTGGCCAACCGAAGGTGCACATTTTCAGCTGACCTCTTGGCAAGTAAATAAGATACGAATGTTTTCTCATCGGAGAAAACCAAATTCGGCAGTTCACAACTTTAGGTCAAACGAAGCAACTCTGTAGCACTTTTGAGTCTATTTTCTTTCTGTTGCGGTAAGTAAGTTCTTGCACTTTTTGGAATTTCAATGGATTTACCTCGAGAGTTCATTTTTCAATATTTGCCGAATGGAATATTGCGATATGTTTAGCTCACGAGTCATTTTTCGGCCACTGCGACGCAGATTTCGATCAAGTCACTTCTTTATTTTTCGAACCATTTCTGCTGATGTAGCTGTTTACTTCCGTCCATTCCCTTGATGTCGGGCTACGCTACCAGTGTATCACGGTAACGAGCGATAGTACAAGACACAAAAGATTTATTCACTTTTAAATGCTGGAGTGCTCTAACGATAGCCACTTGTGGTTTTCCAGACAAATATAAAGAAATCACACTATCCCGCTTGAATTCCATAATGAATAACTTTTTTCTCTGTAAAATTATCACCAAAATGCTTTTGTAGATAAATTTCCGATAAAATGGGCCACTTAAAATCGGAAAAATTCCCATCTCCGAAACTCTTTTTGCCTACATGGTCCACATATTCTGAAAGAACATTCTTAGACCTTTCGTTTGGAGGGCTCAACCCCAAACCCTTCTCAATTTTTTTACAATGGGGTATTTGATATGAAATTTGCATAAGGCCGGCCGCAATTTAGTTCTGCAAATTGGTGGCGCATTGTCAAATACGCTCACATACTGCCAGTGTTGCCAAAACTTGATTGAGAAAAAATGCTAGATTTTATTGAAAAATATGCTAAAAAGTGCTAAAAATTTTAGAAAAGTGCCAGAAAAAAGTGCTAAAAATGAATATAAGAAAATTGATAATATTTTATAATGAGATCTATATTTCTTAAAATTTAAATTAATAGCTATGTTGTGAGGGTATTGCAAGTGTTTGTGCTTCGAAAGTTTGGTCCTGGACTTACATTTTGGTATACGGATCGTTATATCCCGGATAGCTGAGTCGATATAGATGTATGTGACTATTCGTATCACCATTAATATTTATAAACAAAGTAAAGGTCATAGCTGTGAACCAATTGCCACGATATTCTGCATATCCGGTTCTGGCCAGTGAAGACACTTATTGTGTTTGGTAAAAACGGTCAATATTTGGCTGTTGAAGTCAACCAAAGCATTTCATATTTGTTTCTGGTCTCTCTAGGGGTCACAAAATTGTACATGGGGAAAATGCTAATGAATAAGCAAATTGAGCAAGTCAAGTTGACCCAGACTTTTGTTTGAAAAAATACAAAATTTAAACTATCTCGAGCCCTTCCCGCGAAAATGTTGTATGCGACAAAAACTAAATTTTACAGGAGACGGTTTTTGTTGTATATCATTTTATATAACCAAAATTTTTGAATGAAAGTCTACATAGTGTCTTTACGGAACCGTATTTATGATTTGAAATAAAAATTTTAATTGTTTTTGCAATATAACGGTACTCCTTGTCGCTTACATCTTTTTCGTCGTCACAAAACTCAACAAATTCTCTTTGAAGTGGCGTTTACAATTAAGAATCTCAGAATCAAAATACAATTTTTGTCATTAATTCAAGGAATTTATTTTTTTTTCTTGAAAAGTCAATAGATTAATAAGCAGAATTATAATCAAACTTCATCCTAATCTGTTTTGGTATAGCTGCAATATATAACTGTCCAATTTTTGATACTTTGAAGCTTTTAATCGGAGTTTCCAACTGAAGTGGTTGTTATATTTTCATTCCGGGGTTTTGGAGGCTAATATTTATCTATACAGAAAGTTATCAGTGTAAGTTATGGTTTTGAAATAGGTTCCATTTAATCGGGGCTTTAATTTGGTATGTCGACTTCTTGGATGTTCAGAAATATTTTTGCAAACAATTTCGACATAGGTCCTGTTTTTGACAAAAGCCCCAATTAAAAGTCCCCACGGAATTTTTAGTATTTTCAAAGTCGAATTTCTCTGAAGAAGTGGTTGTAATTTGGCATTCCGGATTCATAGAGAGCGAACAACATTTTTCTGTGAATAAAAAATTTCAATATAGGTCCTTGTGTTTTACTAGCTTCCACACAATAGACCCGATAAATTTGAAATTGATATTTGGTGTTTATAAAAATATGAGGATAAGTGTTGGAGACAAATTTATTTTTGTATGCCATCCATTTGTCTCACCCATTTGCCATGGCCTACATATAAGGTCATTCAGAAGGCGAATTTCAGGAAATATACAACCTCTGTGAATAAAAAATTGCAATATAGGTCCTTGTGTTTTACTAGCTTCCACACAATAGACCCGATAAATTTGAAATCGATATTTGGTGTTTATAAAAAGATGAGGACAAGTGTTGGAGACCGATTTATTTTTATATGCCATCCACTTGTCTCACCCATTTGCCATGGCCCAAATATCAGGGCATTCAGAAGACGAATTTCAGGAAATATACAACCCTGTATCTACTTTTTCTGCCAAAAGTTGTTGGTGTGGCGAAAATGTTATTGAAAAAAATTTCGATTTATTTCGACTACCTGACTATTGACCATGGGGCTAATATGAAATTTTAATGCAAGCGACATGTCACCACAAAATGTAAACAAAATACCAAGTGTACTTTCATTAAAATTGTTTTTGCTGTGGTTTAATAACGGTTCATGATAGAATTAAAATATTTTGAGAATAAGCGTAATGGAGTATTCTCTATCGATTGAGATCCAAAAAACAAAATCGGAAAATTGTCGCTTACAACATTTTCGCGGGAAGGGCTCGATATGCTCTTCACATTTATTCTAGAAGAGCAGATTCTAGAAGGTGTGGAGCTTTACGTAAATATTTACAGGGGTCTATCTATTCTAGATTATAACTATACAATTTTGCATAAAATTCCGGTTTTGTTGAAGTGCGACATCTATCGGTTTTGAACGGATGATATTTAGAGTATGAAATAGTACAAAAAAAGATTTTTTTTCTAAATGCACTTTTATATCCAGCACTTTTATATTGTTATCAGTCTAAGTATTGGTCTAGCCCCCATATAACGGTACCCCCAATATTCGGTATTTTGGGGATTTTGGACACATTTTCCAATCGAGCTGGTTGTGATTTATTATATAGTTATAGAAGTTATAGAAAGTTCGGCCGTTTACATAGTTTTTTACTTGTTATACTCTGATAATTATTACAACACCAGGAGGTGGATATTTCACAGAATATTTCACCGACACGGACATTAGTTTCGCAGAAAATTTAAGACTTGTGGTAGTTACGTAATGTATCATATGGATAGCCCTGTGCGACTATACTGCTCCGCTCACTAGAAAAAACATTGGAAAATCAAATCAACCATGTGAAATTTACGGAAACTTCAATGTGAAATCGAGAAACTGCAATTTTTTGGAATTATACTAAAAATTTTGAAAAAATCTTGGAACAAATTAAAAATGCTAAAAAAAGTGCTAGGTGCTAGATCAATTTTTTTGGTGCTAAACGAGTTTAAAAAGTGCTAAATCTAGCACTAAAAGTGCTAAATTGGCAACACTGCATACTGCGCACAATTATGTTCTGCAAATTGTGGCACATTCTCAGTTACGCTCACACACTCTCTCTCTCTCTCGATTTAGTTCTGCAATTTCGCATTCTCTCACTCTCTCTCTCTGTCTTAACCCTATGTGAACCAGCGGAACAGTTTAGTGGTTTGTGTCTTTGCTAGTTAAATTTTAAATTTATCTTCACGGACATTTTGTACGCTTGTAAACAATATAATGAGCTGTCACTGGAAAAATTTTAACAGCTGTCGGACGAGTGGCTTTTAGAAATGACAGCAGTCTGAAGTTGGTTGCAGTTTTTTCATCTCACCCTGTAGATATTATACGTTCCTGCACAAACCGACTATAACTTGGTCTTTGAGGAATTGATTTCAAATTGTTGACATTTTGTTTACATTTGAATCAAGAAGTAATTTTGAAAGTTATGAGGTCATTATTTTTTATAAAAAAAATTTTTTTAATTATAAATTTTCGCGAAAACTGTCCGAATAAAAAACAACAACAACAAAAACGTAACCCGATAACATTTATCAAAACAGTTTTTAAATTGGTTATTTATTTGTCAGTTTGTTTGGACAATGTGACATCAAAAAAATTAAAGCAATGATTCATATCAACAAATAAAACAGCTATGACTTAGTTTTTTATTTGTTCGGAAATGCATTTGTATTTAGTGGGAAAAAGATAACAGTTCTTTTTCGATTTAATTTTTTTATTTATTTTGCAAAATAAAACTTCAAGAAAAACATGTCAAAATAAAATCGAATATCAACATTTTATGATATATTAATAAATTCAAATGAAATATGTTCTGATCAATACTAAACGACTGTGTTGATCAGAACATAATCTTTTTTTGTCATAAATATTCCAAAAATAAACTAGACTTAAAGGATCACTGACCTACCCCATTCTATGGCATTGATCTAGAGGCTAAATAAAATTAAATATCGTTTACGTTACCCTAAATGTGGGTAGTACTCAAAGGACAGGCTCTACAACATCATATTTTGCATTCCAAAAAGGTGGGTAGGTTGGCCGGCCTATCGATCATTGTGGTCTCTCACTGCACTAATGTAAAGGTACTACATTCCGACACCATGGATTTTCTGCTACAGCTTTACATTTTACTTGGCCACTTTTTTTGTAATCATTCTTTATCTGATAGTTGACTCATCCGTATGTAAATTGAATTGATATACACACACAAATATATATAGATATATACATGATGTATGTCCCCACTATGCTATATAATCCGCAAAAATAAAAAATAAAGCCAACAGAAGAACAAGTACAGAATTGGCATATTCACACGTACATACAAGTCTGAAAATATCAATTTGTTTAGCGTGGACTCTGGCGCGTTGTTATTTATTCTTGGAAGAATGGTCGTCTTCGTTGTTGTTAATTTTCGAAAAAAGGCGTCGTATGTCTTTTTCTGCTGTGTGTGTGCAAATACACGTCCATATATCGATCATAGACATTTGCTTGCAAAACAGTTTTGGTTACGACTATTAACGAGGGGATTACAAAAAAAATGGTTAGAAAGAATTTCCAGGTTTTTTTTAATGGAAGTTCTCTGAGAGACCGTCTTTATATAGTAGAACTTCTAGAATTCATTTATAAACAAAAACTATCTAGAACTCTTATATATAATAATAATTGAGTCCTCCTAAAGCGGCAAAAAGCCTTTCAGAGGTTTTCTCTAGAGACATAAGTGCTGCCACACTTTATTTATAGACAGAAGTCCTTCTAGAGGTCATTCATAGACAAACTACTATATAGAGTTATTTTTCAAAAGGTCCTTTTTAGAATAGACTTATAGAAATGCATTCCAGAGGTTTCTACACAGACATGATGTCTGATATAGCAACAGAAGGCCTTCCAGTAGTCTTCACAAAAGGCCTTCCAGAGATTTCTATGCAGACAGAAGGCATTCCACAGGCCTTCCAGACGGCTTCTGTAGACAGAGAGAACTTATACGGAATACTTTCTAGAGGTTTTCTATAGACAGAATACCTTATACCTTCTGGAGGTATTCTATAAACAAAACGTTCTTGAGTTTAGGTACTAGGTATCAGAAACTTTGGTCTTACGGTTTGTCTTTCTGATCTTCTAGAAGATTTTCTGGGCTTCCATAAAAATCCTTCTACATACCTCACTTTCTTCTATATAAATATCTTCTTCTGATCTTCAATAAGAATACCTTTTGGCCTTCAATATGAATATATTCTGGTCTTCTATAAGAAGTTATTCTGGTCTTCTATATGTGGACCTTGTGGTCTTTTATATGAATACTTTCTTATACTCTATATGAAGACTTTCTGGTCTTCTATACGAAAACCTTCAAATCTTCTGAGCCCCTTCAAATCGCCAATAAGAAAATTTTGGAGTCGTCTATACGAAATCTATCTGGTCTTTTAAGCGGAGACCTCCTGGTCCTCTAATCGAAGACTTTCTGTATTTCTATAAGACGTTTTGATCTTTAATAAGAAGATAGTCTGATCAACGATCCGAAGACCTTCTGAAATTCTGTAAGAAATTCTACTGGTCTTCTACACAAAAACCCACAGGTCTTCTAAATGAAGTCCCTTGACAGTAGTCTTTAGGAAGACCTTCTATATAAGGACATTCTGGCCTTCTTTACGATGAGATTCTCGTCTTCTATACGAAGGTCTATTAGTTTTCTATACGAATATCTACTTTTTTCTATTCGACGAACTACTTTTGTTCTATAGGAAGACCTTCTGGTCGGCCTTATGATCCACGCCTATTTCTGCACTTCAAAAAATATTTTTAATAAAACCACGCCTATCTGCACTTCAAAAAATATTTTTAATAAAACCACGCCTATGTCTGCACTTCAAAAAATATTTTTAATAAAACCACGCCTATGTCTGCACTTCAAAAAATATTTTTAATAAAACCACGCCTATGCCTGCACTTCAAAAAATATAATTTTAATAAAACCACGCACTTAAAAAACAATTTTAATAAAACCACGCCTATGCCTGCACTTCAAAAAATATTTTTAATAAAACCACGCCTATATCTTCAAAAAATATTTTTAATAAAACCACGCCTATATCTATACCTCAAAAAATATTTTTAATAAAACCACGCCTATATCTATACCTCAAAAAATATTTTTTAATAAAACCACGCCTATATCTATACCTCAAAAAATATTTTTAATAAAACCACGCCTATATCTATACCTCAAAAAATATTTTTAATAAAACCACGCCTATATCTATACCTCAAAAAATATTTTTAATAAAACCACGCCTATATCTATACCTCAAAAAATATTTTTAATAAAACCACGCCTATATCTATACCTCAAAAAATATTTTTAATAAAACCACGCCTATGCCTGCACTTCAAAAAATATTTTTAATAAAACCACGCCTATGCCTGCACTTCAAAAAATATTTTTAATAAAACTACGCCTATGCCTGCTCTTCAAAAAATATTTTTTTTTTTAAAACCACGCCTATGCATGCACTTCAAAAAATATTTTTAATAAAACCACGCCTATGCCTGCACTTCAAAAAATATTTTTAATAAAACCACGCCTATGACTGCACTTCAAAAAATATTTTTAATAAAACCACGCCTATGTCTTCACTTCAAAAAATATTTTTAATAAAATCACGCCTATATCTATACCTCAAAAAATATTTTTAATAAAAACACGCCTATGCCTGCACTTCAAAAAATATTTTTAATAAATCCACCCCTCGGAATGCCTAAATACAGCCGCTTCGATGGGTTAAAACTGTAAAAATATCGTATGGGGTTATACCAAAATTAGATCGAAATATTCTATTTGAAAAACTAAATTCCCCAGGGGAAATAGCAACATAATATCGATTTCAAGAGGATATAAGACGTAAATTTCAAAAAATACGAACGGAATATCATTTTTGTAAATACACTCTCCATAATCCCAATAACCGAATACTGTACGTCAAGTGTCATGACTATGTACAAAAGAACAAAAAAGAAACAAAAAACGAGTGGCCGTTTTATAGAATTTATTAAGTGGTAATTAATATTGTCCGGCTATAACAAAGTGCCTGCTGGACGATTATAGTTTTAGCACAGTTTTTCGTTTTGTGTTATAGTTGCCTCTTCTATTATTTTTCTTTCTTTGTTTTTGTATTATTTTTGTGGTTGCCTGGTTTTCAGCAAATCATGTAGAGGGCATTTTTGCCTATTTATGTTTTCACATTTTCATATTTATTCTAGAGCAAAAAGTCATTAACTCCATAATTGCGTAGACAAAAAAATGAATGACGATGAGCCAAGTTCGTATGCATAGCTTCTTTCATTTGTAAAAATATTTTTTCTTTCACACACTTATTAATTTTTGTTGTTGGTGTGGGCATTATGTTGTGTGCTCTAATTTTTCGTTTCGAATAAGAAAATATATTTCAAAAACGGTGCTATAAGCGGGACTGATATTTGTTCAACGCCCATCATTAGGAAAATATTTGTTAAAGTTTAGCATAAAATGGAAAAAAGTTTTAATTTAATGTTAAAAAAATCTACTACTCTACTATTACTCTTGATCCTTAAAAAAATCTTTAAAACCCCTAGGCTCGTCCTTGAAATTCTAGTTTTGGACTGCTTATTTATTTGTTTGTAAAAGTAATATTGAGATGGAAATTGTGTATGTATGTCAGTCTGCAAATCTTTTGGCCAAGTCATACATAAAAAAACAAACTATGAAAAAAATTATATTTCCAAAAGACATAACAAGACCAGTGGTACACCAATGACTTGTAGAAAAACGGGCAGGTTTTTAATTATACAACTAACAGCCAGTTTCAGAAAAAAACTAACACAAATTTACAATTTGTTTGTATTTTTTGTTTTGGTGAAAGTAAATTTTGAAATGTGTTTTATAGGTTTAAAAATAAAATTTCCTTTTCATTTCATTTTCTAAGAATAATAAAACAATTAGATAAGTTTCCCTTTCATTTTCAAGGGGCAGATTATATCATAATGTGTGCATGAGATTTACTAATATCGGTTAAATGAATACCCAGAAAACATTTTCTTCCGAATACGGTCCGAATCTCTGAACAAACTGCCGATTCTGATGCTGAATTCGTTCCGATTTCGGCACAAATGTTGTATGGACGTGGTCACCGAAATCGGAAAGAAATTCGGATGGAATTCTGAAAAAATATTAGAGTTTCCAACTGAAATCTGTCCGAATTCGGATAAAATTTTTTGGGAAATTCTGAGGAAATTTAGATTTTCTGACAGAAATAGGTCGGAATTCGGAAGAAAATTAAAATTTTCTG